GAGCTCTGATTGCCCTGTAGGTTTTATCAGGAGGAATACCAAGTAGTTTCAGGTGATTTCTTACCAACCATCCTGGACATAAGTGATCTTATGGTTCCCAGAGCATCAGCAGTATTTGTGTGGTTGTCATAAAAACGTGAAAGCCTTCCTTCCCATTCAGTTTGGAAACATGGGACAAAGTAAGATGCACCTGTAGGCGTTCAGAGAGCTGTGTTCCTGCTGCTTGAGCAGCAAAAAAGACACACTGTGGAAAGAGGGATTTGGGACTGTGCCATCTTGTGTTTATTTTTGTTTTCCTTTTCAAAATGTGAATGGTTAATGATCTCTTCTGAATTATAATGGTTTATGATGTTTCCTGTTATCTTAGTGATAGACTAAAAAACTCTTACATTAAGAGTTATAAACTCTACTAGATACTTATTTAATTAAGAGCCAGTGCTGAGAGTTTCTAATAAAATTTGCAAAAGGGTTTTAGGTGGCTGAGGAGATAGAATTCTAGCAGCCTGTTTTAGTAATGCATAGGAGATGAAGGGAATGCTTTCACTGCACTGTGCAGTGCCTGACCAGGGTGGATTTTGCTACCCAGGTCACAGTTGTGCTCTGACCCAATTGGACCAGCTTGATCCCAGTTGTACCAGCCTCCCAGACTGAGCATTTCTGTGCTGCTCTGTGAGATGTATTTGGAGTTCTATGTTGTAGAATAAAAGCAAAGGTAAGAGTTCTTCACTGAAAGAAGAGCTTCAAAGCTTTCTATGGTCTAGTCTCCCTACTTTTGTCTCTATTCTCTTGCCTATGGCCCTGCCTTCTTTCTACTTTTTACTCTAGTTCTTAGTGTTCTGTCTCCTGATGAATTTTTTGGAGACTTTAGAAGATTGCTTTTACGAAACTTTATCTGTCTAAATAGTTAGACTTCTAATGCAAACTTGTAGACCTTAGAAATTTTCTTCTCCCATGATGAAACATGCAGACTTTCAAGCTCATTAAAGTTAGATGAAAACGTATACATCGGAGAAGTGTCAAAAAAAGAGATTATTTTCCAGTCTGTTGCGGAGATGCTGTGAGAGACTGGACTATTAATGATTAATGACTCATAACATTTGCCCATTTGCGGAGGTGCCAGGGCGCTTTGCGGAGGACAGGTTCGCATCTCTCGAGGGAGGACGTGAGTTTTTGGGTGTACATGTGCTAGTCTACATGAGACAGAAGAGGTGAACTATCACAGCCTGGATCCTGCGAGGCGAGATGGTGCTTCTTGCTATGCTAATTGCTCTTCCTTACATAACTCCCTCAGTTGTTAAACTGCCCTCTTCCCCCCAGGGAAGAGCTGATGGAGCATTATTGGCTCAAATGAGAGGCAATCCCTGAGAAGGGATCATAAATTATCAAAGACTCCCTAAGTGCCCCCAGACTCATTTCTGGGGCCTTCCACCAGAGGAATGAAAGTTCCCCCCCACATAGGGGAGGTGTCTGGGCATTCCCACTGAGCCTGAGTATATTTTAACCCATTGGACTGTGTGACATTTCATTTTAATCCACTCCAAGAGATCCATTAACAAGAACCTGGGTTACACTCCCCTTGCTCACTGACCTTCCAGCATGCTGGCAAATGTACCAAAAAAGTGAGGACAGACTGAATTATCACCATCCTTAAAGGGACAGTTGCCCATGCCATTTTCCCTCTGTTGGGAGGGCAAAACCTATCAAAGAAAATGTGAGTAAGCACCAGCACAGATGGGACATTTGGTTGCTTGGTTGAACATCTATACGTGAGGAATTTCTATATGTGGCTTAATGTACAGTGCTGGTACTTCTGCAGAATGTTGGGATTTTTTTCTCCTCTGGAAGCAGTAACAACACAAGGGAACCCTTGGCCATTAGTTTCCTTTAAAAGAGCATTCACTATTCACAAACCAAGTTTGCAAAATAATTTTTCCTGTTTGAAATGTTATGACTTTTGTGTGGGTGATCCTGTAACTTTGACTTCACTGAAGCCATTAAGCATTATAATAATAATAAAGCCTGTTTTTACTTTTTTTATTTTTATTCAAGTCATGCAAAGAATACATACCCTGGTTTTAGAGATAGTTGGATTCAAGCATTCTGACTTTGTCTTTTTAAATATTGGCTTACAAATAAATTGTGAGAAAATTGTCTTTGCAAGTTTCAAACCATTCTAGGTGTACTCTGTTGCCTCCAGCCAGATGCTGTCTGATGTTGCTTAGACGAACCCAGCAAACCATTATCCTGGGATTAAACACTAAATACCTGCAAGGAGCATTCTCTTTATCAGATAGTGCTCTGTTAGCAGAGTTCATTCACTTTATTGCATATATAACTATGGTGTCAAATAGACTGATTTACAACACCTGGTCTTTTACATAATCTTTGCTATTTGCTGCGCTTGTAATCTGCCAAATCATTTAGCTTTCCTGATAGCAGAAATGCTGTAAAACTTAGATAAACTTGCAGAAGAAATGAACTCGAAGGTACTGCTGAAATCTAGGGCCTGCACGTTTGCTGTAAATGTACTGGCTGGTTTGGTTTCCCCTGCCTAATCTGTGATTGCATGTGGCTGCTGGACAAATTGAAATTTTATGATAGCACTGCCGTCAGAGGAGATAAGCATTTGTATGCTAGACTAGATTAATCTAAAAAGAAGTTTTAGGTGTGGCTAATGAAAGCAGAGTGTGTTTTAACTGGGTTTCTTTGGGGTTCAAACCATATGTGTATATCTATATAGAGTCTAGTCTTAAACTTTCTCCATGTGAAAAATCTCATGTATCTGTGTGCTAGTTCTTGCTATCAGTGCAGCTCATTCCATTTTATATTGGAAATATCTTTGAGGAGTTTCAGTTTTTAAAGGGTACTTTCTGAATGATAGTACAAACAACAGATTTCTCTAAAATTATCTGGTTTGGCTACCCAAAACTCCACATCCTTCTGAACTTTTTTGTTAGGGTAACTAAAAGACATCACGTTTGCTTAGGGTTAGCCATGAACAAGATCCAGTTGAAACAAAAGCTGTACTTTTTCATTTTGAGCCACTCATATTTTGCTACTTAGATAATAGAAAGAAAAGCTTAAAATGTGGAAAATAAATTTGCAAATTAGCTTTTTGATTGTGAGTGAGATTAAATCTAACACATCTTCAGGAAAATAAAACAACCTGTAGTCAAACAGGAGAGAGCCCTGCTAGGCAGTAGTGTCAAGTCAGACTGTATTAGAAATGACACTGACCATCAGATTGGAAAAAACAATAAAAATGGAAAGAAATAGCTTTTATAGCATAACTTCAGTAGTCACCATTAGCGTTGGTATTAACCCATCAGTACCTCTGCTAACTCCTTTGAGCTGAGGGAGTGGTTCTGTGTCTCAGACACAACAATGAGTTAGCTTGTCATGTCAGGCACTGGAATGGGCTGCCTGGGAAGGCAGTGGAGTCACCATCCCTGGTGACTTTCAGGAAATGAGCACGCATGACACCCGGTGCTCTGGTCTGGTTGGCAGGGCAGTGACCAGTCAAATGTTGGACTCGATGGCCTTGGAGGTACTTTCCAGTCTAAATGATTCCGTGATAGTGTTCCGGTGATGGATAGGATGTAGCACTTACTTGTGGAGATCAAGAAGGGTGTTTTACATGGCATGGCTAGTTCAGGTGGGAAAGCCTTTTACCTGCTGCTGCTGCACAAGGCTGTTGGACAGCACAGGTGGGAGTCTGCCTTTAGGAGGTACATGGGCCACTGCTAATATCTCACATCCATAAGCTGTTGTAGATGTTTGTTCTTAAGGATTTTTCATCCCATCTGAGTTGAGAAACCTCCTACAGCTGTCTTAGTTGTTTAGTCTTTCTAGGTTCTTACAGTCACAAAAGTAAAAACAGAGGCTTTTCTCAAAGCAGAGACTATGGCATCTCATATCCTCATGCCATAGATGAACAATTTGTTTACAAGAGAGATACCCTATGGATCCAATCACTTGTGCTGATAATTTCATTTGGGTGAATAATGTGAATAATGTTTTGTGCATGGAAGCCTTTGAATGTGTGAATCACTTTAGGGTTGGGAAGATCAGGCAGGTTGGTGCTAACAACAGTGTGGAACAAAGGGACTTTTGGGTAAAACTCTGGAGTGATATCTCTTACATATCACTGAGATATCGCTGGAGAACAGGCTCCCTAGGGAAGCAGTGGAAGTGGTATTGTTTAAGACATTTAAAATTGGACAGGAGGAAATATATTGTAATGATCAATCCTGTGCTGGTATTTAGATCAAGTCTTGTCTCCTGTGAATATTAATAGAAAGTCTCTGTCTCAAGTACCTGCCATTATTCAGTGAGCATTACCAGATCACATTGGCTTGCAACCTTCCCTCATGTCTGTACTTTTACTTAAAGGACAACCTGAGTAATGCTTAGCACCTTTGCCTTTTCTCATGGTGCCTTAAGCGTTGATTCTGTATTGCCTTGCTTAGATTCTATTCCTTCACTGCTTCCATCAGACAGACTCTATATAGTACACAGAGATTTACAGGAAGCACATGTAGTTTGTGGTAATAATAATAATAAAGTCTCCTGCTGTTTTCAAATCCCTGAGAAACTAAATCAAGTGTGGAGGTCTATTCAAAAAAAAGAGTGCAGCATGTGTCTAAGTCACTTTACCATTACCAGTGTGGGTCTGCCTTGTTTGGTGTATTTGGCTGTCATCTCTCTGAGGTCTGTGTTCAGTCTCCAGAGTGCAACTAAGACATTACACACCTCAAAAGGAAAAGCTGATGAAACAGCCTAAAATAACCTGAGCACCCATGCTTTGCTTGCCTCTTTTTCAGTAGCTCTGTGTTGTCATTACTGACAGGAGTCCATACAGCAAAATGCATTCTGTGCCAGTGGCCCCTGTCAAACAAATCTAGGTCTGGTCTGATTTATGGAGGCAGGAAAACTGGAGGCAGTTCCTGCACGGTGCTGTGATCTTAACAGAGCTCTGTTTTCTTGGTGTGTTTCTGTAGGTACCAAGCCTCTCTTCTTGGCCTGGTGGAGTCTGTGAGCGCAATATCAGCTCCAGGACAGCTCTGCTGGGAACCTTGTGACGGGAACAAACCGCACCCGCCCTGCTGCGCGAGCCACAGGCTGTCCTCCTCCTGGTGCCAGAGCCCCTGCAGCCCCAGGAGCAGAGCAGATGAGCTGGAGGAGAGTCGGCTCCTCGAGGAGATCTTCTTCATTTGACACTGCTCCTTGGTCCACACATCCTCTGAAATTACTGGAGTGATCACTGCTTGTTTTCCCTCTTCTAAAACATAGCTAATTAGCATCCAGGTTCATTTTGGATTTAGTGATCATGATGCAAGTATATTGTTGGGGTACGCCAATCAGAAAGTGTTAACTTTTTTCCTAAACCTTTCATGTGCCAAGTAATCAATTTACAATAGCATTTTTTAAAAATCTACAACATTTTCTAATACATTGAAGTCACAGTTTTGCCAGCTTTATATCGGAAGTATATTTCATTATTGATTTTTTTTCACTCTGAAGCAGTTTGCAAGAACTGCCCAACATTCAACAACCAGCATGTTCAAAGTAGATTATTTTCTAATTAAACAAGTCTGTTTAAAACCTGGCATATTATAAAGGTACAAGCACTTTAGTACTTTTTCACTGATTTTATGATCTACTTTTTCCTTCAACATTCTGATATTTAACACACTGAGTTTTTAGGGGATATATTGTAAGCTCAACTCTACAGTGTCTGATAATGTTAATAGACGATGTTGCAGGTTGATGTACTAGGCACAGGTTTGAATTATATTCCTCTTTAAATCAGTGCTATTTGACAGAGTTTATGTGCTGGGTAATGTAACCCTGAAACAGCAGAACAGAGTCAGACATCATAGAGATCCAAAACCTATTTGATGTACTTTTCAAGATGAAATACATAGTAGTGCTAGCACAAGAGCAGTCTTAAGACATTTTCACTAACTTGCACTATTTTGATCCTGCATCCAGGCTCCATTGTAAATAAGACAAATCAGTAATTATTTCCACTAGCAGCTCACAATGCACACTTTCCTGCCAGCTTTAATTATTCATGCTGTATCTATTTCAGTTTATTTAAATGCATTTCCATCTACTGCATGTACTTGGTTATTTAAAGAAATGTGCCGAATTGGTAAAAATGACTGCACATTACAGGATTAATGGTCATTTTCTCCACAATGCAGTGTTCATATTTTATTGTAACAGTAGCCACCGGCATGTGTTCCTAGAAATATGAGACTAAAATACTCATTTTGCACAGTAAAATTGCAGCAAGGGAAAGGTAGAATTGATCCAGTACGGGCAAGTTCTAGGCCATTTGCTCCCAAACACCACTTCATGGGCCAGTACTGCTCCTCAGACCATCTCTTTAGGCAACCCTGCTTATCTTAATGGCTGGGTTGAGTTGCTGTACTGATGCTTGGGGTATGGCTGCTGTCTGCCTCCCCACGCTGCTCCTGTGCAATGTGTGATGCTTTGCAAGGTGGATCTCAGACGAGAGCACCGCAGCCCCTGGCAGCACTGTGCTCCATCAGTGAAACAAAAGGAGAGAGAAGGGGAAGAGGAACCTCAGGTTACTCTGGGCTGCTTTGTTCAGGCCCAGTCTTAATCACAAATTAGGTGATATCCTTTCTGTGCATCCCAGCTGAATTTTAAAAGCTGCTTGGGGGAGTTTAAAGGAGGAAAGCAGCATTGCTGGACCAGAAAATTACTACTGTGGCAAGTCCCTGCATGGTCTGTCCTGCTTCTAGTGAGGTGTTACAGTTTTATGGAATATGTCCATCTGCTGTTGAATGTCCCTCTTGTTCTACTCCCTGAGCCTGTGAAGGCCCAGGTATCTGCTAAGGGCCCCAAAGACGTATTCAGTGCCCTGGCTCAGGTAGAGCAGATGGGAACATAAGTTTTCTTATACTGTTGGCTGAGTAGTGTGCTGCTTAAAGAGGACAGGAAAAAGGAGGAGAAAGAAGAGAAAAATATACAAGGACCAGCAGGAAATTTGGGGATAACTGTCACACAGATCTTAGAGTTTGGGGTTGTTTCATGGTGTTTTTTTAGGTTTGCTGGTGTTTTTTTAAGTGTTGGCATTTATAAAGAGTTCTCTGATTTCACTCCAATTGCTTCTTGTCTCTTTTCCAGTTTGACTGAAACTTTAATTGCCTTTTCTGATAAATACTAACTGACCTTTCAAAACAGCAAAAAACTACATGTATATTTCTTGAAAGGTGCCTTTGTGTTGAGAACACTCCATGGGAGCATTTTGTTCTTTGATTCTTTTGTGGGTGCCAATATTTAATGCTTTGAGATTTCTTATGAACACTTAAAAAATTCTACTTCTCAATGTGACTTTTGGCTTGAATCTATATTTTTTGGTTGTAGCTCTTTTTAAAAGGACATTGTCAGGGTTGTGGGCTCTATGCTGAAGGTGCTGTCTGTCAGTCAGACCTATACAGGGGGCACACCTTTGTGAATCAAAGTTTTCTAGTAAAAGATGGTTGAAATCCCTGATGGGTGAAGAGCTGTATGCTTTAACTCTCTATGAGATGTGGACAAAAGAAACAAAAGCTATTAATTTCATAGAGCCTGTGGAAAGTAATTTTTTATAATACTGGCTCTTGGTCTAGTTATCAGCAGTACATTAGGAATAGTGTTTAGCAGTCAGTGCAAGCAAAGATATTTTGCCATGAGGCACTACAAAGTTGAAGTTATTAAAACATTTATAGCCTTAGAAAAAAAAATCAATGATTGTCAAATAGGAAAGGACAAAATCAGTAGTTGGTACTGGGAGGGGAATTGTTTTCCATCTGCTAAAACAGTAGAGGAAATGCAAAAATTAAACTAGCAAAAGCAATGACATGACAGTGTCCTTTTAAGTTTGAGCTTCTATATTGGGAGCTGCTGCCGGGGAGTTGGTCCAGCATAGACTGTTTGTCCAGAGTGTTCCCAGTGAATATCCTTCAGCTGCACATCAGGCTGTGTTTTCCATGGGGCTTCGTGGAATAACACGACTGCTGCTAAGGCTCCTACCCACGCCTTCAGTTTGTGTCCTTCCCACGTGGTTCGTGCACACACACTTGCTGGCTGTTTGTGTAGTTATTGCTTTTGTGCACCTTGCACATCACAGACCTGTAATAATCACACCCTTTTCATTTCTAGCCTTTCCAGTCTTGCTGTTGAATCTCATCTTGAGCACGTATTTATATGTGTATGTGAGGTCTTAATCTAATAAATTATCTGGGGGTTTAATTTATTCTTCCAGACTTTTATTTGGCTTATGCTCTGATTTTTGTCCAGCTCAGCTGTCAATACTGCCATTGACAATGTGTTCCACTTCCCACAACATCACATCATATTATGTTCTGAGTCTCCAGTGTGCTAAGATACATGAAGAATTTGTTTTAAGCCTTCTCTTCCTCTCCAGGACACGGGTCTTACTGTAAGAAGGAGCAAGGCCTCCTTTGGAGCATGAAGTAAGAGAGAGGTCTCAAAATACAAAGGAGAAGAAAATTGAAGAGCCAGCACCATGTGTTGGGACAAAAAAGTGAATTAAATAATAAGGAAGAAAGGATGGAGGTGAAGGCAAGAAAAGATAAAGATGCAAGGCAGATGACTGTACCAAAGGTGGAGATGAAGTGGGAGTGTGCCAGAGGGCAGGGCCAAGTTGTTAAACTAGAATAAGCAGGTGAAGGACAATTGTGTGCTTGTATCTTAAAGTGAGAAATGTTTTCAAACACTTGTTCCCATAAGAGCCTTATGACTCCACACCCTTTTCCAAATCATGTTCCTGCATTTGAGGAGCTCCTGTCCAAGGCATGCTTGGCAAATGAGGGAAAGAAGGAAATTACCTTGACCAAGCTTTAGCATCTCCCCTTTAGAGCAGCTGGGCAGGGAGGCCAGAGCACATGGAGAGCAACTGTGCAGAGCCCAGGTATAACCCAGGGCATGGACTGAACTTAAATGCTTGCAAGGGATGGGGACTTAGATGGCTGAAGGATAGGAAACTGGAGAGCAAGAATCAGAATAAACAAATAAAATTTGCACTGATCCAATGAGCTGTGGAAGTTTGGTTTTAAGGAAGGAGAGAAATGAGCTTAGCTGCACTTCAGAGAGATTGAGCCTGAGATATCCAAAAGACAGCCCTTGAAAAGTGCATATGAGCCTGGGGTTAAACTCTAGAAGTTGCAGCAGAGATTTCTCAAATATGACCTCCAGGCTGTGTTTGAATTTGTACCATCTGTGGGGGAGAGAGCACAGCCTGGTTAGTTAGAAACCTCCTTTTTCACTGTTACTAAATTTATGAAATTGTGTGCTAATTAGTGTATGATTTATAAATTTACATAACTGCATGCTACATAAGACAACACGGAATATTGAATGAGGTGATTTAAACCAGCAGAAGCAATGTAGTCTGCTCTGACTGGGTGGCTTTCCTCTGGAAAATGCCTCCCCCATCCAGACCTGCTCCTGCATCACTGGAAGGCTTGTCTGCTCACAGTGACAATAAATGTTTTACAATATTGTGACTCCATGTAGCTGAGAGACATCTAGCTCAAGCATCTCTGGCATAGCTGTGCAGCAGAGCTTTCATGAGGATCCCTGACTAGAGTGTTTGAAAGCAGAATTCAGATAAAAAACAGCAAGAAACCCAACTTGACCTGGCCAGTGTTGGTGCTTGAGGACTCCTGCATTTGTTAATGGGGAGTGGAAGAGCATCCCAGCTGCAGGAAAAGGATGGGCTGGAGGGTAAACTGGATTTGTTTCCTAGCTCTGGGGAAGCCAATTTGCCTCCCTTCACAGGGTTCTGTGGGTTCTGTGCTGAACTGTGTTTAGCACCACATCTCAGAGGGGCTGTGGCCTATATCGGCACCCACAGCAGAAGGCACTGGAGGTATCCACCAAAATACGTCTGTGAACTGTAATCTATAAGAGCAGAAACATATGGGGCACACATTCCTATTGAACAGAAGCTGAAGCTATCAGGCTTCATGTATTCTGAGGCTTGAAGGAAGGCTTGAAGGCACTGGGGAGCTAAGCTGGAGAAACTCAGATGTCACTAAGAGGTGAGGTCCTGACATCTGTGAGGTGAAAGATGCCCAGGTGGTCCCAGCAGATGACCTAATCCATGAGCTGCAGTGAGAGCCAAGTTTCCTTGATTCAGGATTCATCCTGAGTATGTAAAACAAAATAATTTCTACTCAGAGCATGTAATAACCAGTGTGAGTTCATTTTTCTGGTCCCCTGTCTGCAGACAAGAGGAAAGTGAAAAGCTGACAACAGGTGTAATTCCTTGTGCTTACTGGCAACTACATTAAAACTTTGAAGCATGGGTTTGATTAAAGCAGCTGCCCAAACACAAAGTGTTAAGTACTGTGAGCATTAAGAACAGAGTGGGAACTTCTCCACCTGATAATGAAGAAAAGGACAAGATGAATTCACAGACACAAAATTTAGTTCATTCTTGAATTAGATATGACTATGAGAAAGTTGCATTGAAATTTTAGAAGTGCCTTGTCAAAATCTTCCAGCAATTACTCTTTCTGCTACAAAACTGCCTTATTTTGAGGCTGATGTTATCTCAAAACTGCCTTATTTTGAGTCTGAGGTTATCTACCTGAATTTCCAGCTGCTGGACTTTGTTGTGCCTTTAGAAGAAGGGTTACAAAGTTGCCATATAGCCAGACTGAGTTCCCCAAAGAGAGTGATAAACTCCTGGTTGAGCCTTCTCTTTGTTGAGACGGCCTTGTGTCCTAATGTCTTTTCAGCCTCTGGATGATTTGGAGGGCCTATTTCTGAACATTTATGCATCTTGAAAGGTTTGCACTAGAGCAGGATGCCCAGTTCCAGTGCTGCTGATGGGAAATGGTGACAGTGCGGCCTCATTTCTGTACAGCCTTTCCTTTTTGCCACTTTCAAAAGCCTTTTTTTTTTTTTTGGATGTCTTGGGCTGAGTACCAGGTCTGGTTGCATTTCAGATCATGGTTCTGTTTCCTGAAGCAGGAATTGTGGAATTGTGTAAGAAATTAAACCAGGAGGCCCTGCTAAATTTAGAAGAGTTGAGGAGGAAAGAATAACATGAAGTGGAAATACCAAGCAGGAAAGAAAAAGATTGCAGGACTCAGTTTGGGACAGAGCATGAACTTGTGGGTGCAGTACCTGTGAACTCAGACACCTTGATAACAATCTGCCAGACACATTCTTGATGGGATGGGGGAGACCCAGACAACACAAACTCTCAGAAGGAGAAGAGTGAACAAAGCACAAGGCAGTGATAGCAACAAAAACAGACGAGAAGACTTTTGAGCTGCAGATGGGGAGGCAATGACATCTCTGAATTGCAGAGGAAATGACTCCTTGTCAGTTGAGCTGGTGCCCCTCTATTTGCACTTGTGCCTTTAGCACAGGGATCTCATTACCAGAGAGCTTACTGGCAGATTGGAGAGATCGCAGTGAGGAGTAATAAAAATGATCAGGGACTGCTATAATTGACATAATGAGGAAACAAGATGAGAAGAGTCAGATATTTATAGCATGGGTGAGAGAGACAATTAAAAGGTGGGGTGGGAGATGGACTGGATGACCTGAAAGCCTTGTCTGCTTCTAATAACTCCTTGTCGTCTGCAGAACAGAGGACTTGAATTTACCGAGGCTGTCAATCTGACTCTTAACAGCCCTAACTTCCTGTGTTGAAAAGCTCAGGTGGGTGTACTCTGGCTGTATTGGCACTGTCAGGATGTCACTGGTGCTGTACTTTGCTTAAAAAAGTAGTCATCACCCATGTTGTGGAAAAAAATTGACATGCTGACAGTAAAGAGAAAAAAATTAGGCCTTCATAAAGTAAAAAGCCATAGAAAACCTTGCTGAGGGAAAGGGCTGCCTGGGAAGGGCTGCCTGGTTGTTCAGCCTATGATGCTGAGCTCTCTCTGCTGCCTGGAGGGTGGCCTGTGGAGAAGGAAGGTCCATGGGGAGGGAGAAGATGTGAGATATTTTCTCTGTGAGCTGGCACCCAGCTGTGTCTGCAGCTGAGCAACACCGCTGCTGCCCAGCATGCACAGATGTGCACAGGCTGTTGTCCCCAACAGCTGCTGAGCTCCACAGACAGCTCTTGGAGCAAGTTCTGGGCCAGGAAAAGCCTGCCAGTCCCACTGATGGCTACAGCCATGTGTGGGGTTCACTTCCCTTCCCAGTTTATCCATGTGTGTTCCTGCACTGGGGCCAGGGTCAGTGTCCAGGCAGTTTTTTATAACCCCGTGTTTGCTCTGGACTTGGGAGACTGCAATAGGATTGGAGGCAGCCAAGCTGGAGACATCTCAGCTCCTGGGTTGCAGTCAAATTAAAACACTGCTGTGGAAAGCAAGGGGGCTTTGTGTGTTGGAGGCACTTTGGGGAAATATCAGAGCGGTGCTTGTTGAGTCTGGTGGCGGAGTAGCCGCTCTGTTTTAATGATACCTGTGTGCAAAGGCCACAGCTGCTGTCATCCGTTTCACATTAGTCTGACTTTCACAGAGCAGACATAGCCTAGGGTGGTGGAAAGGAGGGAAAGGTGACCAAGAAAAGAAAAAAAAACAACCAAAAAGCCATTCATTTTTCACCGATTTTTCCATCCTTCTGAGCTGTGATACCAGTCTGTGGCTGAGCAACAGTAATCTTATCCAGTGCACTGTTGATTTAAGCCTCTTGGATTTATATAACTTTGGAAATGGTAAACTATATTAATTTGCTGTGTTTTCAAGGGAAAGTTATTTATTGAGAGACATTTTTAACTCAAGTGCCAGGAGCCTTAAATCATTATAATAAATTCATGCTATTCAGGGTTTCTTACATTGTAATAAATTTGTTTTAAACATGAATGAGGAGATCCATGATTTCTTTAATATACTGTTATGTATTTCCTTTCAAAATGACACAGCTCACTATATCAAGTGGGAGAATAATAGTGAGAGATTTACAGCACTTAAGAATAACACAGCCTGGGAATGTGACATGTGAACCAACACGGGGCAGGGGGGCTGGAAGCTGCAGGGAGCCCACCACTGCTCTCAGTGGCCCTGCTCGGGGTTAAACAGCAGCAGTGGGTCAAAATCAATGAGTGAACCCACAGCTGGGTGGGAGGCTCCCTGCAGGGTGGGAATCACAACACGGCCTTGCATTTGCTTCCCATTTTAATGTGCGACAAACACCTAAAAGGTGACAAGAATCATCTGCCATGACCTGGGAGGGTGACTGTGCAACAGCCTGACTGGGATCAGGGCT